CGAAGAACAAGACTGAGAATACTTCTCTCTGGCGTGACCTCGCGCTCGAATGGCCATGCTATACGGTTTTGCCCGTGTTACGCCAAGCGCGGATGACTGCATACAATCACAGTCTGTGACATCCCGGTCCCCTTAGCTGCTCCACGCATAAATTTCCATTGTAAATTCCTACCTGCATGCTTTGTCTTTGGGAATAAAACGCGATAGGGATATCCGTACGCCCGCGCATGCATGCGCACACACGTGCGCGCGACGCACACACACACACATGCACAAACAAACACACAAACAAACACACTTTTGTCTTCTCTCTCACTAGCCTGCCCAATACTCGTTTTCGGTGGAGAAGAAACTGGGCCGCAAAAAAAATACAAAGCTGAAACGCCCTGAGGCTCCTAGATTTATTTGTATTTAACATGAATTGTCTCTCATGGCTAACGCTGCCCCACCGTAGTGGTCTAGTGGCTGAGGTACTCGGCCACCGACACGCAAGTCACAAGATCTAATTCCGGCTGTGGCGGCTGCATTTTCCATGGAGGCAAAAATGCTTTGGGCTTGTGTGCTCAGACTCGGGGGCTCTTTAAATAACCCCAGGTGACCGAAATTTCCGGAGCTTTGCACTACGGCGTCTCTCGTACTCATATGGTGGATTTGAGACGTTAAACCCTCCATATCGATGAATCAACCAGTGGTCAATGCTGCTTCATTGCTCAGAACAAAAGACGCCACCATCGACACCAGCAGCAAAATCCCTGCGAAACGAGCACTTTTAGGCTATCGCATGCTTGTTGTATGCCTGAACAGTGAACCCTCGAAATGAGGGAGCTTGAAGGAATCCACGGGAATAGTTCACATAAGTAACTCAAAAGATCACTAGTCTGAATATTCACTAGAATATGGCATGGCGTGGGGTGCAGCAGGAATGAAGTCAAGCGTGTGAAATGTGATTTCTTTTGAAATATTTATGTAATATACATTTGTACTGGCACATTAATGACAAAAAAAGACTAAGCTGTACAGAGAGTCTACTTATTCGTGCAGTGACTCGGCAGGACTTGTAGATGTCGCATGGTCTAGAAACGAACGTCAGCCATAGCTACAGGATTTGAACCTACCTCAGCCATGACAACTTTTCCTACTCTTGTTTCGGTTTTAGAGGAAACATCGAAACAATTTCCATGTCTGACAGCTGTACGCAGGTACTGAAGCGTACGTGGCTTCTTTTAGTCTCTCGCATGGCCGCAGTGTCACGGCCGTGTAGGGTGTATATGCAATTTTGTGCGACAACTGATAAGGAGGCTACAGAAGGACTTGTTCTTGGCTAGTTGGTGCTTCCTGAAAGCCACAATGTAGTACGATGGTTGCATCCGGCACGTCACAGGTTGCGTGATCTATTTGAGTGCGTGACGTATCACTCACACCTGTGCTGCGAAGTACAAAACTCCACTAACTGATCTCATAATTGAGGCGGCTTCACAGAGAACGTTTGTTCAACAGAATTACTCACCATTTCGAAGTTCGTTCAACTAAAAGGTTCAACTGAAAAATTTTTGCATGGTTTGCATAGGAGCGCAACCGGGGATTTTCTAAACGTTCGTTATCCTGACATACTTGTCCAACTGACGATCTGACAAGTGACTGTGCGCTGCGTAGTTCTGTTTAGAGCTGTTCATTTTTATATTTCTAGTTGTCACATTTTCATGAGTGTTGCTGTCACCATCGCCAATCAATTTCCCCAGTATCACCCCGCCAGGTGCGAGGAAGTCTTCTTCCGTGTTCACAGCAGAACGCGTTGGAGTTACGGTGTCTGGATCACTTCAAAGTGTGATTCATTGATAGTGTGAACAGTGTCCTTAGCTAGCTTCAGGTCGCAGTCTTCTCTCATCCGCGATTGTCTCCGGGCTACGCTTATGCCGAGGTTTCGCGCTGTGCTCTAGTACTCAGCGTAGTGGGTTGGCATACTCGAGCGATGGCCCGGTTGAAGAAACCTGGTTGGTGTGTTAAAAACCTTACGGCCAGCATGTCGCTCGCACTTGAATGATTGTATCCTAATAACGCGGTGATGTTGATATGATTTCAACAGTGGGTAAGCACAATAATATACGGAGTTGATGCGAGCACGCCCACACTCATCGATGCTACCTGAGATGTCTACATGGGCGCCTTTTTTCATTTGTGTTTTGCATGACGTCAATAAATACAATTTATATATTCACCAGATGGAAAACTAAAAGAAGAAAGTCACATTTTTCTTTCACGTGAACTACTATAATGTAATTTCAGCGTCAGAATGCTCACATGGAATAAACATTGCCGCTCATCTCACGCACTCTGCAAATTAATTTGATCACAATGTAAAACAATTGTTAAAGATATTGCCATGAGTAGATCTTTAAGCTGGAAGCACGTGCCTTTTGGTGGGTGTACCAAATTACGCAAATTGAGTAATTTTAGTTTGTTTTGTTGGTGGCCCATGCACGTTTACTACGCCTTAATGCATCGAGCGTAACCTGTTTTGGACGTATTATCCACATTGGTGCCCAAGGCACCTGATAACATGTATGAATGACCATTCAAGATATCTCATCAAAATGGTTTATTGATATTTGTTTATTACTGCATGTTTTCTGGTGTTTGTGTACATTATCGCACGTAACATGCTAAAGATGAATCTAGAAGAGCAAAAAATTCTGTAATTTGTTAGATAGAACCACTGTCATAACATGAGATAATGCATTTTAATACATATATATTGAAGGAAAAAGTGTAAAACTGGAAACATTCGACTCGGCACCTGAAAATTAAGTACGTGTATTCCCTAAAAAGTCCACAAACGTACGATGAAGCACTGAATATTTGTTATTCAGAAAAAAAAAACGCCAGGCCTACACAAAAGGCATGACACAGTCGCAACGTGAGGTAGAAGAGCAGCCTTTCAGAGCCTTCTTCGAGACACTCATTGGGTAACTGCTGCAAGCACACTAGCTGGGTACCCACTACAGTATTCATAAGAATTTCTGGGTAATAGGTTGGCATTCCTTATGAGAACCATAGTATTCGCTAAAAACTTGCAAGAAATTTCGCAAGAGTTTTGCAAGGAATTATGCCTGAAGTGGGTATGTGCCACAGTTATTAGGTGATCAAGAACAATATTTTGTAAAAAAATGAAGCATTGGACGACCCTTTCGTTTCGCGCGTCACATTGTGTGACGCTTGGTTGTTGTTTTGCTGGTCTGAAACCCCTAATACTCATATTAACGCGATTTATTTCCCGACATCAAGCTTGCCGAGACAAGTTTGCCATGAAATCCGCAGCACCGGCATGACTCAGTAGTGGAATACTGAGCTGGCGCGCAGCGAAACCGGGTCCGAGCCACATTGTGTCTTTGGTACTGTCTTTTTTTCCTTAGTTCTTGCGATGGTGGTTACGGACGCCGGCAGGGGCAGCGGTGGCAGCGGCGGACAACTTCAGCGCCACGCGTGAGTCGAGTGCTCTCATAACAGCTTTCGCGGTGAAAAACCTACTAGGAGGTTTACGCATACATGCAAATTGAACTTTCTGACAAGTTTAGTGTAAGTAATCAGTGCTTGTAAGAGCTTCCAAAAATGACGGGTCTTTACGATGTCGCATAGCACAGAAGTGTCCTAAGTTACGTAAAAAAAAACAAATATAGTGCCTCTGCTCGAAAAACCATGAAACAACTAGGCCAAGCCTATGCAACACACACACCTGGTCATGACTGGTCGATGAAGGAGCGATCTTGCTTCACATGACCCGCCACACAGATGTAGTTGGTACACTGCTCAATGGCCGTCCGATGATTGTGGGATCGACTCCCGGTTGCTGCAGCCGCACTTCGATGAACGCGAAAACTTGTGTATCGCTGACTGCTGATTTCAGTGCAGGGTAAAAACCAAGAGGGACAAAAAAGAGAGCTTTCCACAATTGTGTCTCTCGTAAATATATCAAAGCATTAGGTAGGCAACCACAATAACTATAATATAAAGTTATATTGTACCAGCAGTCATTCACATCAGCAATTTATAGCTTGTAAACCATTATATATCCGTATCTGAGTACTTGACAGACCTTTATTTCAAGCATTCTTCACGAATAATAGAAAGGTACTAAAGAGGAAGAGCATCTGTCTCTACACGTTCGCAAGAAAGGTATTTTTTTCTTTACAAAGTGACGAAAGTGACCCAACTGCCGAAATATGGTGTACTGCTAAAGTCGAGCGGCGTAACATTCCTAATACTCACAACGGTGGTCTTGTGGCTTAGGCACTCGGCTGCTAACCAACACGTCGCGAGTTGTAATCACGGCTGCGGCAGCTGCATTTTCGATGGATGCGAAAGCGCTGTGGGCCCGGTGCTCAGGTATGAGTGCACGTTAAAAAACTTCAGGTGGTCGAAGTTTTCGAAACCTTCCACCACGGTGTATCTCTTAATATTGTAATGGTATTGGGACGTCCAAATCCAAATATAAAAAAACATTCCTAAGAATCCAACATGTGCTTCATAAACCAGCGCAACTGCAGCAGTGGTTATTTCCGAACCCTAAGTTGGCCACCTGTACGTACATCATCGTGGTTATGTGTAAGGGTCGATATGCCCATATGTTGCACATATTCGCAAAAATGTGAATGAAGTGCATTAGATACGCTTGAGCAGTTCATATAGACACTAGCTTTTGTCGCTTAGTTTCGTATACTAATGGAAGATGTAACATACTCTCACCACTGAATTTCTGCCGTTAATTAAGGGAATTCGCAATGGCATGAAATACAGAAAAATTGTTAATCAAGAAATGTTCTTCACGATCTCATGTTTTTGTATATAAATATCAGTTCCGTTCATGAGAGAAGCACGTAACACGAAACCTACGATGGAAATCGCTGCAATGGTTGCTAATATACTCTATTTGACTTGAGAGTCATAAATAATACCAACTAAAAGTATTTACAATCTATGACAAAGTGGCACTCTTTTCTTGCCAGTTTTACAGTGAATTTTCAACTATATGGATAGTAAACACGACAATGCATACAAAGAAATATTGTGAACTGGATTTCGTAAACAAAACAACTCCTGACTATGCGAACTTTTCAAGAATATACTTCTTCGGACCTACCATGTAAGTCTCAAAATGTTATCCAGTGATATTTTGTGCAACTTGTATTAAGAATACCTTCAAATCAGGGAACAAGATTACTTACAAGGATTGTTTACAATGGATGATAAAAACAAGAATAATAACATGATATATAATGCCATGGTCGTACATCCACTAAACGGTAAGCCGCTACAACAGTAGCTATGTTTTTTTTATCTGTAAAGTATCTTTGTTCTTTCCAAAAGAGCTATGGTAATCTTTCGTTAAATATCATATTGAGCTGACATGAGAGGCAGATTTCATAAACATTAGGCAAATGATCAGTTTAAGCCAGTGGCATCTATTCATGCAACGTAAAGGTTATGATGTGAATGTCCCCATTGTGTTATTTTAGAAAAAACTATTTACCTTTGGCATGTAGTCATATATCACAATGAAGCTTCGTAAATCTTTATCATTTGTTAATTCGCTAATTTTTTGTTTTTTGAGCAGTTATCTATCCGTGTATTAAAACATTCGTTTTGTGAGTAATTGCACCTTATGCCCGGCTCTGCCTATAGTTATTCGGGGCCTGTGACGTTTTCGTAAGTATATACATAAATGGATAACTTTATTCTTCAAAAAGTTTTAAAAATTTAAACTAAAACAACTGGATTTCATTGGATTTTTCAAGATCTGCGAATATACATCTCACTGCATCTATTCACTATCACTGCAGCACTCTTTTGATGATACTCTGCTTTTTTGCCTAATGCACACATGTGTTCAACGAGAGCTAAAATGATGAATATATATATATATATATATATATATATATATATATATATATATATTTTAACGCGGACTGAAAGAGCGAGGAAGAAGAAGAGATTGGACGCGCTCGAGCGATGGTGATTCGGCAGTGACGGTAGAGCGCTGACATTTTTCATTGTAAATAAACCCATCACATCCGTAACAGCTTTGGTGGAGCGGTTCTGGGTAACTTGCCATCTTGGACCCCGCAGCAGAAGTTCTTCGAAGAAGCAGACGCTTAGCTGGCCTACCTCCGGACAACATCAGCATGAACGACGACACAGCAATTCCATCGACGTCCTACGCTGCTGCATCCACCAGTGCCACCGACACGGCACAAGGTGGCCGTCGACCTCGACAACCAGACTACTGGGCACCTGAGCCACGAATTTTCTCAGGTAAAACTGACGAAGACGTGGACGCTTGGCTAAAACACTTCGACAGAGTGAGCCGCTACTACGAATGGGGCACACCGGCGAAGCTCGTGAACGTAGTATTCTTCCTTGCTGGGACAGCCTTGCTTTGGTTTGAAAACCATGAACATGTCCTCCCCACTTGGGATATATTTGTTAAGGAACTGAAGGCCTGCTTTGGGGACACTAGTTCCATGAAAAAGAAAGCTGAGCAAATGCTGTCACGTAGGGCTCAGTTGCCCGGCGAGACGTGCACAACCTACATTGAAGAAGTGTTGAAGCTTTGCGGAATCGTCAACGCAAATATGTCCGACGAAGACAAAGTCGGTCATTTGTTGAAAGGCATCGCCGAGGACGTGTACAATTTTTCGATAACAAAAGAAAACTTGAACACTCCTTCAATTTTCAGGCAGCAGTGTCGCGCATTCGAGGCGTTGAAGACCCGAAGAATTTTACCCAAGTTCGGGCGCTTGGACAATGTTCCCACTGTCGCAAGTATGGACGTCGCCACCTGCGAAGACATTTCCTACCTCGTACGTCGGGTAGTTCGAGAAGAGCTCGTACGACTTCAAGCAGGTGACGTTCACCACCAATGCTCGTTCGCCGCGTGCCCCGAACCACCTCCCTACTGGATGCGAGAGCGTCACGTCGAAAACCGACCACGCACAGAAACTGCAGATTTTACCCCGCGGCTTCCGTTTTCCCCGACGGGTCGTGGCCACTACCGGATGTCATCATCTCGACGTGCCGCTGCGGACCCCCGACCGTCGTCAACCAGGCCTCTACCAGAAGATTACTATGCTTCATCACAAAATGTTCCTGCGGAGCACGACCCGTCTCCGCGTACTTCTGCCACCTCAGCTCCGGCTAACGTAAGTCGACAAGTCCCCGTTTGTTACACATGTGGTCTCCCAGGGCATATTTCGCGCTTCTGTCCCAGGCGGCCGCCTGCACCGCCACGTTTTTCGACGTATCCGGCTCGTATGTACGAAACGCCTGTGCCGCCACGTTTTTCGACGCACCTGCCTCGTATGCACGAAACCTGGACTTCTCACTCGGCCGACCACCGTCCCCGACAGCAATGGCCTAACGAATTTCGCAGCGAGTCCCCTGCCTTCGAGAGAAGCCTGACGCCGCCTCCGACACGGTCCCGCTGGTCGCCGTCTCCGCGTCGTCGGTCACCTTCCCCGCATCAGCTGGGAAACTAACTGGTGCGACCGATGGAGGTGCGGTCGCGGGACGGTCAGTTTCGCCAATTCCTCCTTCTGCTGTGATGTTGATGAAGAAAGTGCGTGTGTGTATAGACGGTGTAGATACTCTTGCTCTTGTAGACACTGGTGCTGCTGTTTCGGTTATGAGCCTTCGTTTCAAACATCGTTTCTTGGGTCACAAAGTTATGTTCGCGTGGAATAGTAAAGAAACTTTTCGTGGAGTTGGAGGCGAAACGTTATGCCCTGTTGGTATTTGTTCAGTTGTACTCACGTTTGGTGGACAAAATTTCCGAGTTGAATTCACCGTACTGGCTCGCGCAACTCATGACATCAATTTAGGGATAGACCTCCTTCATGAATGCGGTGCTACGCTTGACTGTGGAACTGGAGAGATTCTTCTACAAAGTACGTTGCCCGCTGCAATAGTTGACGATTTTCCGACTCTGCCCATCGATGCTCTTTCGTTGTCTGAAGATGTGGCGATCCCTGGTCAGACAGCAGTGTTTGTACCCGTATGCTCTTCTCATGTCCGCTCAGGACCCTGCACTGGACTTGTGGAGCCTGATCATGCAAACGCCATTAAGAAGAATGTGCTGGTCCCACGGTCTGTCCTAACAGCCATCGACGGACATGCTTGCTTGTGGGCACTCAACGCAGCCTCAGAGCCTGTTGTTCTACTAGCCGGATTCAAACTGGGTACGTTCGAGGAGCAGGCCACAATTGACGTGAGAATGGTCTCAGAGTCTCCAGCTATCAGTCATACTGCGCCCAACTACTCAGCCGAGATTAAACGTATGAACAACAAGTCGTTGCCTTTTTCCGAGCAGAATGTCCTTGAGGAGGTACTTACACGCTACGCGGGAGTCTTTGATTTCGCTCAAAACAAGCGTTGTTCCATGTTGCCCGAATCCCGTATGCACCACCGCATCCACACGGGAGATGCTACACCGATACGCCAGAAACCTTATCGCGTATCCCCGTCAGAGAGGCAAGTGATAGCCGATCAGGTCAACGACATGCTGCAGAAAGGCGGTATTCAAAAGTCAAGCAGTCCCTGGGCAGCTCCTGTTATATTGGTAAAAAAGAAAGACAACTCTTGGCGATTCTGTGTAGACTACCGCCGTCTCAACGCCGTCACAAAGAAAGACGTGTATCCGCTACCACGCATCGACGATGCTGTTGATTGTCTGCACTCGGCCGCATACTTTTCGTCTGTCGACCTAAGGTCTGGATGCTGGCAAATACCAATGCATCCGTCTGACAAACAGAAGACTGCTTTTGTCCCGCCTGATGGGTTATTTGAATTCAACGTTATGCTGTTTGGCTTATGCAATGCCCCATCTACCTTCGAGCGATTCATGGACTCCATCCTTCGCGGTCTCAAATGGGAGATATGTATGTGTTATCTCGATGATGTAATTATTTTTGGCAAGACATTCCACGAACAGAACCATCGGCTTAGCGTTGTTCTAGACTGCGTCAAACAATCTGGTCTCGTTTTAAACGCAAAGAAGTGTCATTTTGGTGAGCGTCAAGTCCTTGTGCTTGGATATCTAGTTGACAAGGACGGTATACGACCAGACCCGCACAAAATCAGTGCTGTCCGAGACTTCAAGCAACCGACGTCTTTGAAGGATCTCCGTAGCTTCGTGGGCCTGTGTTCTTATTTTCGTCGGTTTATCAAAGACTTCGCCCAGCTTGCTCATCCCCTGAAAAAGTTGCTCCGCAAAAACACTCCATTTCGATGGACCATTGAGTGTGAGGCTGCTTTCGAGCAGCTGAAGTATTTGCTTACTTCTGGGCCCCTCTTGCGCCATTTCTACCCGGAGGCACTCACGGAACTGCATACAGATGCTAGTGGTATCGGAGTTGGTGCCGTGCTAGTTCAATATCACGATAGCCGGCAGCACGTCGTGGCGTATGCAAGTCGTACTTTGACTAAGGCGGAGAGGAATTATACGGTCACCGAACTGGAATGTCTTGCAGTTGTTTTCGCCGTCCAAAAGTTCAGACCTTATTTGTACGGCCGGCAGTTCAAGATCGTCACAGATCATCATTCGCTTTGTTGGCTTGTCGGACTACGTGACCCAGCTGGTCGGTTGGCTCGCTGGGCCTTACGGCTTCAAGAATATAATTATTCTGTGACCTACAAGAGCGGTCGATGTCACGCAGATGCCGACTGCTTATCTCGTCTTCCATCTCCAACTGTTGATGCTGATGATGATGATTTTGACAACTACCTGGCCGCAATCTCATCCAACTTCCCAAAATTTGGATGTCTTTCGTCACGAACAACAGCGTGACCCTTCGCTGAAACCAATGATTGATGTGGCTCGTAGCTCTAAACGCGCCACGCCATTCGTGATTCATGACGCCCTACTATATCGCAAGAATTACTCCAGCCATGGTTCCACACTACTACTCGTCGTGCCAGAATGCCTGTGCGTCTTGCGGTATTCCAAGCCATGCACGATGACATCACGTCTGGGCACCTTGGATTTGCCCGAACGCTTCACCGTATCCGACAACGTTTTTACTGGCCTCGACTCTGGAAGACCACCAAGCACTACGTCGCAAGTTGTGATGTCTGCCAACGCCACAAACAACCTACCACACCATCGGCCGGCCCACTGCAGCCGGTTAAGCCACCGACATCACCATTCGAAAAAGTCGGCATAGATTTACTGGGCCCTTTCCCCAAGTCTACCACCGGCCGCCGCTGGATTATTGTGTGCGTAGATTACCTGACGCGGTATACTGAAACG